CCAGCCCCCTCGCCACCCAACGCGGGGGAGGGGGAGACGCCGCCACCCCGCCGGCCGGCCCTTCTGCACCTGGTCAGGGGCAACTTGCGTGCTCCGGCCTGTCAGGACACTGAGGCGCTGGAGCGGGCCCGGAGAAGGGCAACGAAGCTGGTGGAGGGGTTAGACCATAAGTGTCATGAGGAGCAGCTGAAGGAACTGGGGTTGTTCAGCCTGGAGAAAAGGAGGCTGAGGGGAGACCTTATTCTCTACAACTACCCGAGAGGAGGTTGTGTCGAGGTGGGGGTCACTCTCTTCTCCCAAGTAACAATCAACGGAGCAAGAGGAAACAGCCTCAAGTTGCACCAGGGAAGGTTTAGATTGGATGTTAGGAAAAACTTGTTCACAGAAAGGGTTGTCAGGTGCTGGAACAGACTGCCCAGAGAAGCGATGGAGCCACTTTGGAGGTATTTAAAAGATATGTAGATGTGGAGCTTAGGGACATGGATTAGTGGTGAACGGGGCAGTGCTAGGTTAATGGTTGCACCTGATGATCTTAAAGGTCTTTTACAACCCAAGCAATTCAGTGGTTCTATGAGTCAGTCTTTTTGGCTTGTTTGAGGTGTTAGCATATAGCTTGCAGCTCTGTGACCGTGTGTGCTTGACGTTGCAGAGAAAAGGAACGTATTCGTTACGCCAACCTCATGTACGACAGGAGAGTGGTGCGTGGCAACACTTATGCCCTTCAGTTCACACCTGTGGTAGGTTTTTTTATGTGGATCATGCTACAGCTTTGTTGAAAAGTAACAGATAGGGCAGGAAAGCTGTTCTTCATTAATAATTTCAACTATGGCACTTAAAACATTCCACACAGTCACAGGCTCTCCAGTTAAACTAGCATGTGGCTGTTTTCAGCTTTTCTTTAAAGCACTTCCTTTTACATGAACTTCTGTAGTTCTGATTTTTTCCTCCCATAAAGTGCTTGATATTTTTTTTACATTTCTTTACTGTAATGATCCTGAGAACAAGTCATCACTGCATAATCTGTTATATGCAAGGTGTTGTCAGTGAGAATAGCAGCTTTTGGGAAATTAAGTCTGGGAGTAGACCTTTGCTTGTCCTTCTATAGAAGCGGAGCTCTATAGAAGCACCTGTATGCAAAAGCTGCTTGTGTGGAGTTAGAAGTATTCTGTTTATCCTGATAAGGCAGTAAGTCTTTTAGTGATTCTTTATGTTCTGAGAATATTTCTACTTAGATAATTTGATCATAACTGTGTTGCTCAGTAGCTGTTTCCTAAAGTGAATTTCACATATGTTCTGTTTAAGAAGTTTGAAACTGATGATCATTTCAATCCCTAAAGAAAGTACTGAAGTTAAAAGCTAGGGTGGTTTTCTTTTGCTTCATCAGCAATACAGAACCTATAATTTTTATCTAGCAAACAATTCTGTTGACTTAAGTCCGTTTGACCTTCTTAAACTTTACCTACAAACTTTCACTTGTTAGCAAGAATATGCCATTTTAGTATCCTTTATCTCATAAAGGGAAGTTCTGTATACAGTATCCACTTCCAAATAACGACTAACTGATTGCTCTAGTGTGAGATGCCATTAGTCTGTGCTTGTAGGCAGCTAGCATACCTTATTAGTTTCATGCCCTACAGTCTTCAAGGTAACTGAAAATTTTGGGTCAAGGACCCAGAAAAGTAAATCTGAAATGCTACGTTTATAGCATTAAAATCACATGACTTCATTTTCCTGTAGAGAGAAATTATTATGATTTTCAGGTACAAAGTGTATTCTGTTTTGTGGTTATTTTCTTCTTCATCTCTGCTCAGAGCACCCAACCCAGTCCCCTTGAGATTCGAAGGCAGAGGGAAGCACAGAAAAGAGCACTGGCTAGAAAGCGTGCAAAAGAGCAAATGCAACTAAGAACACCTGAGCCTGTGGAAGGCAGAGAACACGTTCATGTGCAGACAGGTAAAAGGTGATTTTTTATTTTTTTAAATTCATCTGAAAACACAAACTTGCTGATCTATATTAATTTACTAAATTATTGATGCAATCGGTAGCATCACATGGGGTTAAAGTTAGAATCATAAAATTCTAATCCTTTCCAGTATAACCCCTTATTTTTAACTGTATTTAATAAACTTGGCTAATTAGCAACATTTTCCAGGAGGCTCTGCATTTCAGTTTTCAGTGTACATTCTTGAACACTAGTCAAGACTTCTTCGTTTATTCTTTCCTTTTTCAGTATCATCAGTATCATGAGGCTGAGGGGAGGCGTCATTGCTCTCTACAACTACCTGAAAGGAAGCTGTAGGGAGGTGGGGGTTGATCTCTTCTCACAAGTAATTAAGGGTAGAATGAGAGGAAATGGGCTTAAGTTAGATAGATTGGATATCAGAAAGATTTCTTTGCTGAAAGAGTGGTGAGGCATTGGAACAGGCTGCCCAGGGAAGTGGTGGAGTTGCTCTCCTGGAGGTGTTAAAAACCCGTGTAGATGTGGCACTTCAGGATTCAGTTTAGTGGTCATGGTAGTGCTGAGTTGATGGTTGGTCTTGATGACCTTAGACCTCTTTTCCAACCTTAATGATTCAATGAGTCTATGATCAGAGAAGTTTGGTATATGCTTAAAATGATTTTTTTCAAAAAAAATCTGCTTAATAGTGCAGTCACATGTAAGAATAAGACTAGTATTAAAAACTGGAGGACGAACCATAATTTAGAATATGAAACTGCCCTATTTGTGGGAAAGCAATTTTTGTGTGGTAATGCTGAGGTGAGTATAAAGTATTGCTATGCCTTCTGAAAAACATTTCACACTGGGCTGACTTACAAACTGGGAAAACAGCTGCATTATATCCTAATCAGACATGGTCTTTGGTTTCTCAACATTCCCTTCTGCTCCAGTGCCGCTGAACCTCCTGCACCACCTCCAGAGCACACAGTGGCTCTTTACCATTCAAATACTGTTGGATGCAGAAGGAGGCTATCTAGTATGGAAGTCTTGGTCTTTTATTCTTCCCTCTGACCACTGCAGATAATTTTCAGTACTCTACACACCTTATTTTCTGACCCAGGCTATTTATCTCTGCCTCAGGAGACAGTTATAATTTAAATCAAGTGCATATGCTGTTACAGATTTGTGGTTACCCTCAAGGCCACTTCTGGTGGGGCCAGAAGTAGAATATAATTCTTTACACCCAACAGCTCCAGTGTTCTGTTTTGCCACACACAATTGAGAAAAACGTATATTTTCAATAGTACTTGTTAGTAGATAGGCAAGCATTATCCCTTTTTCATAGAATGATAGAATCACAGAATGGTTTGAGTTGAAAGGGATCTAAAAGATCATCTAGTCCAACCCCCCTGCCATGGGCAGAGACACCTCCCACTAGACCAGGTTGCTCAAAGCCCCATCCAACCTGGCCTTCAGCACTTCCAGGGATGGGGCATCCACAGCTTCCCTGGGCAACCTTCCCAGCATCTCACCACCCTCACAGAAAATAATTTCTTCCTAATGCCTACTCTAAATCTACTCCAGTTAAAAACCATTGCCTGTTGACTCTACCAAGAATTGTTTATTCTGCAAGGTGAGCCAAAATGGTGTAGACTCTGGCTTTTGAAACCTACTAAGTAAAACGCCCTTTTAGGAATCACTTCCAAGAAGTGCCCCTGACATTACACAGAACATGGTGCCAGATGGCCTATGCAGCAAACTGATCTGTATTTTAAGTTGAAGTGTCTTTTTTTTTAAACTTTATAGAAGATGGTTTGTTGCACTCTTTGACTCTAATTCACACTGTAGATTCATCAAAAATAGTTGAGATTTAAAATAAAAATAATCCAACTTTCAGCATTCATTGTGCTTTTATTTCTAGAACTGTATTTGGAAGAAATTTGTGACCGTCCAATAGAGGTTGATATAGAATGTCAAACAGATGCATTTTTGGACAGACCACCCACTCCACTCTTCATACCAGCCAAAACAGGAAAAGATGTGGCCACACAAATAGAAGAAGGAGAGGTATGAAGTAAATTCAGGTCCACAGGTGTTGCCAAAACACGTCTCCCCCACAAAACACATTTCTGGTTCCAAACTGAGGCAGAAACAGAAAGGAACTTAACTTCAAATCAGAAATTGGAGAATTTATTTTTTTTGCATGGTCTGGGGATTTCTGTTGCTTTCAGCTAAGAACTATATTGTTGAGAAATGCTGTCCCCCGTAGAAGGTGTCCAGCCCGAGAAGGGGTTGGCAAGACTGAAGTAGGGTTCAGGTGAGTGCTCTGCTTCTCCCTGGCAGCGCCCACAGTGGCTGTGGTACGGTGTGTATTGTCTTACTCCAACCCACTCGTCACTTAGACCCTAGCTGCATTCACGCTTCTTGCCTTAGCTGGCACTGGCTCCTCCACCTGCATTTCTCAGGCCTGCCTTAATCACAAAGGCTTTGTCCATCCTCCTTTTCTCCTTGCCAAGGTGTTAAAAAAGTAGTTGGTGATCAAGGGGCCATTTATTTCTGTTTCTCTGACTGCTGTCCTCAGTTGTTTGACTTTGTCCTCAGTTGTTTGACTTTGACTTTGTCCTCAGTTGTTTGACTTTGACGTTGAAGTCAAGCCCATCCTGGAAGTGTTGATTGGGAAAACGATTGAGCAAGCTTTGCTAGAAGTCATGGAGGAAGAAGAGCTGGCCCGGCTGTGGGCACATCAACGCGCTTACGCAGAGCTGCGTAACGCAGAGCTTGCTGAAGTACAGCGCCTAGAAGAGCAGGACAGGCGATACAGGGAGGAGAAGGTAGGACTTCCTAAGAGCAGAACAGGCCTGTCTGATTGCTCATCAGAAGAGGGGAAACCATTTTGAGCGATGAAAGCCAAGCTGTGAAATAAGCTGGATGTGCCCAAAAGGGTACTGTCAAGTTTGATATTCCTCAAAGCATTTTGCTTTGCAACAGCTGCCCTCTGCCATTTGCTCTCGTGCACCAGCACCCTGCTCTTGTGTTTATATGGAGCAGTCGTGCTCCAGTGACCTGGTGTACTTGGACACATGATCAAGAGACCAAACCCAACAGCATTTTCCTCTGTACCTGGTGCAGCTGTTACTCAGGCCTTTTCATTATAATCACTGCTAAATGAGTAGAGTGCTTGAAAGTACAAGAGATGCCTCCTAGTCTTTCACACTCAATGCATGTACTACTGTATGTGCACACATACCTCTCAAGATCTCCAAGTATTAAAGTGTATTAGTGCTATCTAGTAAATAGGAATAAACAGAAAAGACAAACATTAATTACTCACTTTTTGTCAGCTTTGTGTAGCTGGGTTTTTTAATATTTTCCTGGACCAATTTGAGTTTTAATCTTTTCGTAGATAAAATTGGATCTAATATTGGAAAGATGAAAAGTTCAGGAAATCCTGACCCAACTTCATCTCATTCCAAGGCCAATGATCAGCTTATTCAACAATAATAAAGCAAAGGGTCATCGGATCAATGCATATTAAAGTATCAGAGAGGGATTTCACTTGGCCGGCTGGGAGTCCCTTTACAGACTTGCCAAAATCAGAAAAGGCATACCAAAGAGTGTGTTTCCCTCTAGCCTTTGTGAATTATAGTACTTCATAGATCGAGTACAGGCTTACTTCAAACTCTCTTTCATATGAGGAGTTTTTGTAAAAGTTAGAGATGCAAATACTGGGTAGAGATCGTAAACGTGTACTTTTGATTATCTTGGCAATTTATGACTCTCACACTTTGATCATTCTTTGAGATTTAGGTCAGAAGAGTTAACAACTAAAGGCTTGAAAGTTGTGATATTGCCTTGACAGGAACGTCGCAGACGCCAGCACATGCAAATGTTGCAGAAACAGAAAGAGACCACAGAGAAAATTGCAGCTCGGGCATTCGCTCAGCGTTACTTGGCTGATCTCATTCCCTCGGTCTTCAATAACCTTCACGACAGTGGATTTTTCTTTGACCCTGTAGAAAGAGGTTTGTATTTTTTATTTATTTTTATACGTGAACTGAGTAATAGAAAGGTCAAGACAAACCTAAAATGTAGCTTTTTGTCATATTATTTTGAATTATGTCGTAAGACTTTATTCATTTATGTTTGTGGCTGAACAACTGTTCCTAACTCTTATTTTTGACACAAACAAATATTATTGGTTATCTGTACAAGTAGTCAAGAATAAGCAAGAGCTGACAATGTGACAGCGAGAAGACCTGCTTTTGAATTGGAGAGAGATAACAGGTGGTTAGAATTGGTAGGGCAGAGAGAGAGAGAGCGCAAGCCAAATTGATGTACATGTATTTTAATAGGATAGGCAAAGAAATCTGTATATCATTCTGAATCTATTTTAATGAGCAAGGGGGAAATTAGTAAATTAGAATTAGACCCTGGAAATAATTTCAGAGTTGTAAATCAGTGACTTCCAAGCTTTTAGAATCCGCAGCATTTCTTATGGGTTACCTTGCTGCACCCCACTTACTCAGGCCCCACACAGGTGCACAGACCAGAGCTTGGGAATGATTACACTCTCTCCAGAATGAGTCATGGAGCAAATGCAGAAACTGAGTGTATTTTGCAAACAGGGCAGGCTTTGATACCATGGCATACGAAGAGCACAACTTGAGAAATATATGGGTAAGCAGGAGCTCTTTAGTCAGAAGGAACAAATGCTTTCAGCAGTCTAGAAGCCTGACGTCTTTGGAAAGCAAGGCAGGAAATGTTATTCTCCTGACTTGTTCAGCATAGTTATTTTCGTCTCACTAGAACATTACTGTGTATCTCATCTGTGCTAGCACTTCAAGGGTGGCAGACCCCTTTAAAAATCACTGCAGTTGAGGCAACTCTGGTCTGGGTCCATAATGGTGAGGAATCCTCAGTAGGACAGGCAGGAGATAAGAAACCCAACAAGACTTAAGAGATACCATCTCTGCTCTTGCAAAGTGTGTGTCTTTTGGCAAGGATGTTCATCCCTTTGTGGTTGTAGTAAATGAAAAACAGCCCCAAGATACTATCGCTCATCCTTAATAAAAAGACTTTTTCTTCCTTTCTTTCTTCCTGCTAAATTCTTACAGACATTGAGACAGAATTCCTTCCATGGCTGATGACAGAAGTGGAACAAACACTAGAGAAGAAGGTTCTGGGGAGGACAATGCTTGACTGTAAGTTACTAAATCCTAGAATGTAATCTGGGCTGCTTGATGTTCTTGATTGTTTTTTCCCCAGTTAGAACAAATATCCCATTTACGGGGTCACTGTGGGTTAAGGTAGGAGGTGTCAGCAAGAACTCCAGGTACACATGGCTTTTTATGTTTGTTGGATTTTTTACAATACCAAAATGTTTTTAATGTTGGAAAACTACTACTATGTACATCTAGATAATTGATTTTCAGCTGAAATATTAGAAGTGTCAGTCATGTTGCACTATGCTCTGTCTGCTGGCTTTAGACTCTTTGAGATGTGCTGCTGGGAGATGCAATACATTTGGCAGGAGCAGAATGGTTAAAGAACACCAATTCTTTAATATAAAACCTTTATTTCTCATGTTACACAGCCATCAGTGCTGTGCTCTTCTGTGTGTGTGTGCCTGATTATGCCACTGGGAACAGAAAAGCCCAGCCTGTGAAAGTCTCTTAACTCGTTTGTGTAAACTCCCTGACCTACAGAGTAATATGTTCATCCTGTACGAAAGGGGAAGAGAAGGATAATCATAGGCCATGGTTGACTGAGTAGTCAAGTGACTTCTTACCACGTTTCATCAAAACAAGGGCTTGCCTCCTAAGCAGTCAATATTCATGTCCTCCCTTTTGAAACAGATTAAAATATCAACCATCTTTTGGACTAGTTCAAGCTAAGTGTTCAGGTTCTTCTATTAGTCTTCGGAGGCTGTAGTCATAATACCTGAGCAATCTAAACTCTGTCTTGTGTAGAAACACAAAATTATGGTGAATGCACGCCCACCCCTGTGGTCCTAGATCAAACCACTTTTTACACTTGCATTGCATCTTCATTCCTATGGTTTTCCTCCTGCTGTGATTTGGTTTTGAATTACTGTTGTGTTTGTTTCATTTGGGTTTATTTTCAGTTTAACTAGCATCTTTTGTTAAAGTATAATTTAAATAATTAGAGCTATTCTGTTAGGTATTTTATCCCCTGATATGTTATGGTATGTACGCTTAAGGATCACTTCATGTAGCTTTTCAGGAGGGAGGGAATTTTCTCTTTTTTTAAGAAATAAGTATTTTATGTGACTACTGAATAAACCTCCCAAGGAGAATGTTGCTTCAGGATACACTATTGATGAGAGCATCTATCATATTCCTGTTAAATCTTTTTGTTTAATTTTTTAAACCAGATACCATGGTCTAAGATACACAGGGAATCTGGAGCAGACCAATAAGTAATATCTGCAGACCCTGTTTTCCTATGTACCCTCTGTATTTCCTGGCTGTTAAGTAAACAGCAGCTCTGTAAACCGAACTGCAAATTGCATTCTCTGGGTTTTGTATGGGGCAGAGACACAGCCTCAGCTGAGGTAGTTCATGGCTTCTTTCCCCACTTATGCAGAAGCACAGAAAAAAGTCTATAAGGATCCATTTTTAATCTGTTTGAATGCTGCTTAAAGAATTTGTCACTGTCCAATAAAAGAGCTGTGAACTACAAAGGAAGCACCCTCTGTGTAAGGCAGTTATATTTGTCCTCTCAGAGATGACCATTCCTTCTTTTACTTGGTAAAGTCAACCCGTGAATTAAAAATTAAGCTCTTTTTAGTACCTGTACATTGTCCTATTTTGTGTGTTAAACCTCTCATTGTTGGCCTCTATTTTTCATATGTAAATGATGTATATCAAAGTGAGTGTTGGTTGTTGGGGTTTTTTTGTATGATGTCCATTGGAGGGGGTATAATATTTAAAAAAAATTAAAAAGGCCAAGCAGCAAAAATAATGAAAGAATAGGTGCTTTTAGGTGTTTTTCAGAATGAGAAAATCTTTTTGATGATTCCCATAGTTCCAGTATTTCCCACTGCCAAAACCATCATGCTGTGTGCAACCTGACTAGTCCTTGTCCCTGGTTCTGGAAGTGAGGAACTACTGTGAAGAAATGAACAAAATAATTCAGGTGAACCCTTTCAAATCACTGCTTTCAGTGTAAACTGCTCATTTGGCTGGAGCTACACTACAGTACTAGGGATGATTTTTTTCATTCAAGTATTCTTTGATTCAGTGTTATTTCGTGTTGTTGCTTTTCTCTGTGTAAGAAGTTATAGGTCAGCAATATATACAATAATCTCAAAGTGTAAGGGGTTTTTCCTCCATATTTGTTAACGGTGGCTTTCTCTGTTTCAGCCTTGATTCGTACAGTGGTTGAAAACCGCTTAGATGCATTTAGCCGTAAACCTTTGTCTGATCAGAAAGAGGCACCTCCCAAAGAGCCCAGCCCAACAGGGGCAGAATGCCCAGTGGCAAGTGAGGCAGACACTGGTGACCAACTGGTTTCAGAGAAAGAAGAGACTGACCAACCTGCTCCTGAGGAAAAGCCTTCACGTCACATCACTTTCCAGTTAGAAGAATCGGATCAAGGAGGAACAGAGGATTTGGAAACTGAGCAGGCGAGTCACTGAGTAAATGGAGGTGAGTGGCTTAGAAAGAAAAAATTAATTCCTATCCATTTACAAGTATTGCGTCCTAGCCATGCTGAAGAATGACCCCAAGCAACAGTAGAGCATTCAAACGTGTTTTCCACATGCTGATGCTCTAATTTCAGGCTATAAGAATCAAGAGACAGGTTGCTAGTGCAATGAACGGCAGTGAAATTCTGTCCCCTTCTACACAATGCAAGCCGTCAAAAACTTGGGACGTTTACAGTTGAAAAATAATGCTGTTCTGTACCCCATGCTAGAAGGTCATGAGAAGGACATTGAGAGCATCCTAATATACCTTTACAATTGCTTTGATAATGTTCTCAGAAGAGAATTTCCTTAATTTCCCTATTTTGAAAGGTAGCCACTACAGCGCCTAGATATTTCTTTTTTTTCATTCATGTTAGTCTCTCCTGTCCTGACAAACTTGGATGTGCATCTCAGCAAGTAATGGAGTGAAGGCTGTTGTTCCTGAAGCTCTTAAGGTTCAAAGAGTTATCTGCCACTGGGAATTTCTGCCAGTGCAAAATCCCTCTCAGCTTCCTCACTCCTGGAGCACTGCTGAGTGGCTGTAGCTGCACGCCGAGTCCAGCCTCAAGCTTCTTTGTAATCGTCCTTTCCTTTTCTACTCATTCACTGGAAACAGTGCCAGATGCGACTGACAAAATGCGCCTGCACTGCCACGTGTATCCGTCTGTTCACATACGAACTCCTCAAGTGGGGCCTTAGATATAAGGAAGAAATCTAGATATAAGGAAGAAATCTAGATATAAGGACGAAATTTAGATATAAGGAAGGAATTTAGATATAAGGAAGAAATTCTTCATCGTGAGTGGTGAAGCACTGGAACAGGTTGCCCAAAGAGGCTGTAGATGTCCCATCCCTGGAAGTGTTCAAGGCCAGGTTGGATGGGGCTTTGAGCCACCTGGGCTAGTGGGAGGGAGGTGTCCCTGCCCCCAGCAAAGGGGTTGGAACTAGATGATCTTCAAGGTCCCTTCCAACCTTAACCATTCTATGATTCCTTCTCATAAAAGTACATCCACACTCCACTGCAGTGACACCATTTCCTTGCTAGCTGCACCTGTAGAAAATGTCCTGTCTTGTCCAGACTGCTTTATGCTACCTGCTCTCTGCAGGTCAGAGGAGATGTATGTTAATTGAGCAGGCCAGATGCCAGCCTGAAAGTGGGATGTCAGGAATGACACCTGAAGAGACAAGTACCTGCTCTGCATCTCGTACCCTCGAAAGGGATGTCCAGACTTTTCACTGGACCACTTGTATGTGTGGCTTCAAGGCACACCCTGTCTTCCCTCCATCCTGGGCTAGGACATCCCACGGTAATCAGGGCAGCTATTGCTTACATGGAAAAGCTCCTTCAGAAGTTGTCAGGTATTTGCCTCTCTCTGTAGGCAGCTGAAAATCAGAAGTAATGAGATGTAACTATCAATAAATCTACTCAGTGGGTTGACGTAATATCAATATGTTAAAACTGAGTGTCTGGAGTCACATAGTACAGATTATAGACACACGGACCTGTGAGTGCTTTTCAAAGCTGGAATATTCCCCTGTAAACTCCTCATCTGTTTGCTAACTTGACAGTATTTCAACAAACTATGCTTGTTTATTTCATTTATAATTGATTCCTCAAAGGATCTATCAAAATGTGTTACGTGTACAAACATAAGGTAGCTGGTGCTCACTACATCTGAGTTTCTGAGGAGAATTTATTTTTATGCACATGACTGGAATTGAAGGCTTGAAATGAAACTCTGTTTTCGGCATTGAAATCAGTGGGAGGTTTATCTCAATTTCAGTAAGACCAAGATTTTGCACTTTTTTTTCCTCATGATGATGGAGACTCCTGTAATGACTTCAAGTAAATTGGGTAAATGGTTTCTAATTTTATCTGGAGAAATAAAAAGGTGTTGCAACATGATTCATGAGAATCATAAATGTTTTGGCTCATTTTTGGAACACTGTATGTTAGTTCGAAGGATTCCTCATTACTGAATGATTGTTTTGTCATGTATTTACAGGAGACTATGCATAACCCAGAGGTCTACCGTGGATTGTTCCTGAAAAAGATTCAAACAAATGCTAACCTGAATAGTTGATTTTGAAATGTCACAGGAGGAAGGTGATCACCTGAAATATTTTCATTTTTGTCATTCTTGTTTTGTGTTTGATTGCTAGAAAATTTACTCAAAGCAAAGTGGTCAGACACTGGAACAGACTGCCTAGGGAGGTGGTTGAGTCGCCATCCCTGGATGTGTTCAAGTGTCGTTTAGATGTGGTGTTGGCTGATATGGTTTAGGGGTCAACTGTAGTGTAGGGTTAATGGTTGGACTCGATGATCCCAAGGGTCTTTTCCAACCTGAATTGTTCTATGATTCTAAGATTGAATTATTTCTTTAAAATAGGTTGTGGCCTTATTATGTATTCTTAAATTATTATTAAAAAAAAAAAAAGAAGAATTGTATGCCCTGCATTTTTACTTCATTAGGAGGTATAGATACAACTCAGGCATTGTGTATCATGGTGCAGTTTGCCGTAACAGGTTATGTTTTTATGGGGCCACACAGCCACGAGGCTTCCTGCAGCACTGGCAGTTTTCCATTAATAAATAACCTTGTGCTTGAATTTGGCCCCAAACCTGAGAAGGGTGGCAGGGGAGGGGACCCCTCACATACTGTCCGTCACCGAAGAGGCAGAAAACCATGACTGACAGTAAAGAGGGGAAGAGGGGTTTGGGGTGGTGATGTACCTGTCAGCTGTTTTGGGGTGATGCCAGCAGAGACATAGCCCGTGTGGTACACGTGTTGGGGCTGGCAGGGTGGCTCAAAGGCTGGCATACAGGTAGCTGGGGGTGTCACCCCTGCCAAGGGGTGCAAGCACCACATCCCTCACACCACCTCCCTACGGGGATCCCTCCTGACGCCCTTCCGCTGCAAATCCCCGTTCTCTGGTCAGTGTCCCCAGCGGCAGCTGTTTGGGGCAGGCCGGTGAGGCTGCAGGGTTGCCAGCTCTGCACCCTCGGGGGATCTCGGGGTCTGCAGCTCCTGGATGTGCGTGCAAGAGGGAGCGAGGAGGGAACGGAGGGAGACGGCGCTGCCGGCACTAGAGGGCAGGAGAGCCCACAGCAATCAGCCTAAAGAAACAACAAAAGGTGTAGAGGCACTGATGTCACCTATTGCACGCTGTGACACCCGTCTGGACTTCTCGCTTCTACTAAATCCTAAAGGTGCTGGACGCAGGATGCAGGCTTCTGGGTGCTTTCTTCCAGAACCATCAGAAACCGGTCACAGAGTTCATTCTGACACTGAACTGTACAGCACAGAGGTGTTGAGCCATGCCTCTTCTAGTCACGCCCAGGTTGGGCACCCATCAGTAAAAAGCCTCCAACAGTAGTGTGTGTGCACAGTGAGGCTTCCTTTCTTTGTGTGTTTTATCAAAAGCAGCTGGTTACAATATGACTGTGTCCATGTGTTTTCCATCTATTGATTTCTCTGCAGAGAGACAGAGCGTTACTCCAACAACCAGCTCAGCAGTTTACCTGCATGTTTACTTGAACACCCACTTGAGAATTGGGAAAGACATTGAGTTTGGGATTCCTCTTGATATTGATGGACCAAACTGGGCTCTCCACATTTCTCTGTTGTACCTTGACAGACTGGGAGCATTTTGGTGAGGGTAAAATTTGTGGCTGGTTTGCTGCTGGCAGAAATCACGGGTTTCAAAGAGCTGCAGAGAGAATGAATACGTTAGAGTACATCTATGAAGGTGTTTCCTCACTTGCTTATATGCATGAACTTTGCTTTATCCATCTTTAATGGCTGCAGCCTTGGTAGCCCACAGAAGCTACATTAACAACAGCTTTATACAGCTATTTACTGCAACAGCCCTGTGGTGTTCACAAAGTCATGAAGATTCCTGTCCTGCCCTGCTGCAGGAGACACTTTTAGACCAGTATAACAGTATCTATCACAGTGAGACGATTTCAGTATGGTTTCTCACTGCCAGGATTTCGTTATTGGTACAAACGAGAAACTAAACATGGCCTAGAGTATGCTTCAGTAGTCTAGCTGTGATGCTGCTTCATTGCAGCGTCACTGTAGCTATAAACGGCCCTGCATCACCTCACTTCTCCTCAGCCCCACCACAAAATAAATTTAACAGTGAACTGTAGCAGCTGTGGTAATGGCATATCCCATGCTGCTGACTACCATGGGGTTCATAATTTCTGGCAAAATGTCTGGCTGAGAGGCTGGTTCGATAATGCTTGAAACTGCCCCTATCTATCTGAGTCCTAGCTGGGTATTGCAGCCACTGCTGAGACAACATATACTGTTAAAAAATTAATGTGACTTAATAGGAATTGTGATTTAATCCTGCTTTGGCAATTGAAATTATATCTACCTTAAACATAGCCTTTTTTGTGAGATGATCATGTTGGAGAGTACTCATATCTATGATGGGCTGCAGAATACATTTCAAAGATTATTTAATGGTCAAATATCAGCAGGCCAACTGTTACCATTTTAATTAATGGTAACATTTAATTAATTAATGGTAATTAATTTAATCAAATACTTTTGTTTCAGAGTTGGCCTGACATTCAAATTATCTGCAGCTGCCAAGACCACAGCACATTGGATCACAGGATCACTGAAAGGTCTAGCTAGGTTGGAAGGGTTCTCTGTATCCCTGGTCATCCGGTCTGACCTTCTCAAAAAGCAGGGACTGAGATAAGGCTGGACTTTGCCTGGCAGGGGTTTAAGCGCTGCTGAAAAGGGTTTGCAGGACCTGGTGACCTGCAAGCTGAGCAGCTGGGCAGCAATGCCCCTTGCAGTCATGAAGGCTTGTTCCAGGTTGTGTCAGCAAGAGCATAACTGACAGATCATGGGATGCCATTGTTCCCATTTGGCCTGTGTTGATCCACTCCTGGAGGACTCAGCCTAGCTGTGGTCTTC